CCAATTGATTTTATTTCAAAACAAGTTTTTCTTTGTAAGACAAAAGGATAACAAGGGATGAGAAGAGATAAAAATTGTTTCTTGTTAACAAGCATTAATGCAACATAGCCAGGAAAATAACTTGTGTTGGGTCAAATAGAACCACTGAGACTGGTTGAAATTCTAAGCTTTCTTCTCTGGAGAGGGTTGTTTTTGACATTAAATTAATGTCAGACACATTGAAATTTATTTATTTATTTTTTTTAAGATTTATTTATTTATTTATACAGAACCGGGGTACAGGCCAGAGATGCAGAGGGTGAGAGGATTCACAGGGACAGAGTGGGGAGCAGAACAGGCAGATCAACGAAGTACACTGCTGAGGGGAGCAGTGGGCGGGTCAGGAGAGGTCTGCTGCGCCATGTGGTCGGGGATGGAACTCATGAGGAAGTGGCTTAAGCTTCTTTTGCAGTGCATTAACCCGCTGCGCCACTAGGGAGGGCCTGAAATTTATTTTTAAAGGGGAAAATAAAGTGATAGGCCTACGTTTTTGTTTTGCTTGATTTTCCATTTGGTTTGTTTCATTCCCACATTTGTACGGCTGTGGTGGGGAAGAAGAGCAAAGGGGGCAAAATAGTGTTCCTGGAAATCTCGAGAAGAAAAACAAGTGCAGTAACACTCGTAACACATGTAATACTTCTAAAAAAACTATAAAATGTTTTAAGTGATTTCAACTTTAGCACCTGTTCCTTCAGCTTTTAAAATTTTACTGTCTTTGAAATGCAGTAATAGTCATTCTCCGCATTGTCTCAAATTCCTAATTAAAATGAATGGACTTGGGCCCTCCCTGGTGGCGCAGCGGGTTAAAGCACTGCACTGAGAAACTAAAGCCACTTCCGCATGAGTTTGATCCCCGCCTGCCCCGGAGGTGACCACATGGCGTGGCAGACCTCTCCTGACCCGCCCGCTGCTCCCCTCAGCAGTGTACTTCGTTGATCTGCCTGTTCTGCTCCCCACTCTGTCTCTGGTGAATCCTCTCACCCTCCGCATCTCTGGCCTGTACCCAAGATCTGTATGAATAAAAAAAAAAAAATGAATGGACTTCCCAACTTATGCACTCCTGACTTTTTAAATGCCCAATATTTGAATTTATACTAAGCCAGGAGTTGAAGACATTGAGAAGCATTTCAATGCACCTTCCTACATTTGTAGGAAGATCATGTCTTCTCCTCTTTTCGAAGAGCTGAGGCAGAAGTACAATGTCCGTTCCATGCCCATCTGGAAGGATAATGACTTTCAGGTTGTTCAAGGACCCTATAAAGGACAGCAAACTGGCAAAGTGGTTCAGGTTTACAAGAAGAAATACATCGTTTACAGTGAACTAATGCAGTGGGAGAAGGCTGATAGTACAACTGTTCACGTGGGCATTCACCCCGGCAAGGTGGTTACTACTGAACTGAATGAAGCTGGACAAAGACCGCAAAAGGCCCTGGAACACAAACCAAATCTCGCCAAGTAGGAAAGGAAAAGGACAAATACAAGGAGAAGATGCAGGAATAAAGTAGTTTATATACAACTTTCATTAAAAACTACTAAAATGAAAAAAAAAAAAGGAAAGAAAAGGAGTGTTTTTTGAAAGCACTGTGTTTCCTTTCTCCCTTGTATCCCCAGGGCAAAGATGAAGAACAGAGTAAATTGATGTCCTGGTATATCTGCCAGGACAATGCAAGGAAATGGAACCTGATTTTCTACTGGCAGTCTTAGAAGCGGCAGTTGATTTCTAGATCACCCCATATAAAAAGTTATTTAAGCAGTGATGTAGATAAAATTGTCTGCAGTTTTGATTCATTCTGGTTTTATAAAGTGTTTGTGGGATGGATGCCGTGAGAATTTATGGACTTTATGTTAATGGGGAAATATCTTGAAAGTGTTAGCAAAAGGCCATTTTGAAGCATACTGAGTCAGTAAAATAAAAGATCGCCACTTCCATAGAGAGAGTCTTTGAAGGGACCATCCATTAGTGTACCCTTTGCCGTAGATGGTGCTGAGCAAAGGGTCTGCCTCTGCTCCTCAGGAGGGGAGTTGAGTAAGCTGGCTGCACCTAACGCAGCTTCCCACCCTCTTCTCACTCCCCTTCAGCAATACAGACCCACGTATGCATCTTTAAACAACATATACATACCCCTCTTTCTGCCCAGCAAACTGGCCTTTCCTTGTCCACCTGGCTAACTGCTCCCCATCTTTGTCTCTTCTGGGCGCAGACTTGGGTACCACTCACTGTGACCTGGTGTTCTGAGAACAACCCCAACTCGCTTCTTGCTTACAGGTGTTTTACAAGTTCGAGACGTCACTAGGCTAAAACCACCTTGATGGCAAGGTGTTTGCGTGTTCACTGTGTACTGCTGACATGATCAAGGAGTGGATTAGGCTGAAGAAAGGAAGTTGAAAACCACTCAGCTTTCACTTACCAATCACTCCTTCCTGTCCAGCAGGCAATGAAATGCAAATTTCAATCTGCCTTTTACAAAAGCAATAGCTCAAACGGAGCAAAAGAGAGAAAGAAAAAAGAAGCAGAAGTTGACGTTGTGTGTGTGTGTGTGTGTGTGTGTGTGTGAAGAAAAGCCAAACAAAACCCTCATGAATCAAACAACAGAAAAACAAGCATGGGAGAAACAGTTATCAGTTAATATTCATCTGAATATTGGCTAGTGAACGACTGGGTCAAGGTGGAAAATGAAAACAGTTGCTACCCCCATTGCCTCTGTGCGCAGGCAGTGAGGAGCATGTGAAATCATGAGCAAGGCGCTGGGCATAAAGTACTTCCCCAGTGGTGGGATGCCAGGACTAGAGAGGAATCCGGTGTTCCTGGATGTAGTGCTACACGCTTGCCAGCAGAGGGCAGTCACAAATACAGCTTCATCTCACCCTCCCACAGAGAATGTTTTCTTCATATTTCAGATAAATAGGAATTGGCATTTCTTATCTCCGGAGGTAGAATACGGGAGGCAGTGGGTGTAGTCATTCTTAGTAATTTGTGGGGAATTTTTTGGATGTTTTAATTTGGTTCTGAAAACTAGGGAACTTGGAAAGATGGAAAGATGATTTTGCAGTAAGAAATAACATTGAAGAACCAGTATCATCTGCCAAACGCTGTGCGAAATGATTCACATGCATTAACATATTTAATCATCACCAAAAAAGCTAAAGGGATGTACTATTTTATCAGTCCCAGTTTCTAAGCAAAAAAGGTCAGCATTAGATAATCCAAATAACTTAGTCCTACTCTGTGTCTTATATAATCTCCTCCAATGGAACACGCCTGCTTCCCGTCACACCGTCACAATGCTGTGCTGGGCTGAGCTCCATCTGCTGTGGTATATGGGGCCTGACTAGCTTCACCCACAGAGAAGGTCCTAGGGGAAAGAACAGAAGGAGAAAGAAATGAAAATGAGAAGAAGACACTGCAGAGGAGACTAACTCATAGCTTTAAAGTCATATGTACTGTACGAAAGGGAACTGTGAGGTGGTGTTTGTGAGTTCTTCTGTAAGTTAAAAAGTAGACTTTAACTCCCCCATCTGTAGCTGCCAAGCCTACGCATTTTGTTTACTTACATTGTCTCATTGTTGTCTCCATGGACTATAGGAGAAAAGTGTGTTGATAGCAGCAAAGCTTTCCAGGCCACAGCATGAACCCCATCACAGCTCTCTGAGACTTTGCTTATGATCAATATGGCCTGGGAACTGAATGAGAGCAGATTTGTGGAAACAAAAATCAAAATGAAAATATTTTTGAATGCTGACTATGTTGCCAAGATTGTGCTAAGTGGAGTGAAAAGGTGCTTATGACACAATTCCAACCTTCAACGAATTCTTTTATACAGCTTGAAAAATAGACAAATCAGTGAGCAGAGGATAGATATCGGCAATGGGATAAATCTTATCTTAAAAGTCTTGTGTCGGCCCTCCCTAGTGGCGCAGCAGATTAAAGCACTGCACTAAAAAGCTAAGGCCACTTCTGCATGAGTTTGATCCCTGCCTGCGCCGGAAGTGACCACATGGCGCGGCAGACCTCTCCTGACCTGCCCACTGCTCCCCTCAGCAGTGTACTTCGTTGATCTGCCTGTTCTGCTCCCCAGTCTGTTTCTGGTGAATCCTCTCACCCTCCGCATCTCTGGCATGTACTCCAGTTCTGTATGAATAAATAAATCTTTAAAAAAAAAAAAGTCTTGTGTCAAGATGACAGGAAAAAATAGCTTTAGGGTCTCCCCAAAATATAGCCATTCATCTTATCTTAATATTAAAGATAATAATATTTAATACTAAGTTCAGACTTAGAAGATAATGGGTAACGGAAGAGGTTCATTTTGACACTAGGCATGAAAACAGTTGTACTCTATCTACTGTCTGAGAAGGGCCAGAATTCTGACCACACCTACTCTGATAGAGACCTAAGTTATCAATCAGAATATTTTACATTTATAACTGCATCTAAGTTGCAGCTGTCATTTTACAGGTAAGGACACTGAGGTCTAATAGTAAAAAAAGGGTTTTTTTGTTTTGTTGTAGTGTTAGAGCATGGCAGAGCAGGGCCTCTGCAGATTGGCAGACAAGCAGAGCGGCTTCTCCTTGTGAGTTAGAGTCAGCTCCCACTTGAGTTCATCTCCACAACATACTGGTTCACTCTTCTCGAGTAACTTATTTAAACTCTGTCGTTCTGTTTCCTCATCTGTGAAATTAGAATGATACCCTCACATCTGCCATATGCAAAACGAGAGAGTGCATATAAAACATTAATTAAGAGCCAGAAGAGATAATGCCTATTAGCCAGGGACATTAGACGAACTTGATCAACATTAATTATTAGAGCTCATGTGTCTCCAATTTCTACATTATCTCCTTTCAACCACAGCAGTGAAATGGGGTTTTATTCCCTTTTGTTTCTCTGACACAAAAAAAGGAGCCTCTTTTTTTAGATCTGTGCACTCATGTGGTGTTTTTCCCCTTTATGTCTCTGTTTTCAGGGCCAAGGAGATAAAGATCAAATTGGGAATCCTCCTTCAGAAGCCAGACGCGGCCACTGACCTTGTCATTCCATATAATGAGAAGCCAGAGAAACCAGCCAAGACCCAGAAGTGAGTCATGAATATGGATTCTACTCATTTTCCTCCAGAGGATGGCTATTTTTCAAGTGAATAGCACCATCCCTCATCTGTAGAACTCCCCCCTTCAGTTACTCATTGAGAATCACAGGAAACCTCAGAGACTTAGTTTGTAAATAAGCATTTTTTAAAAACTCTCTTGTGCTAGAAGATTACATTCTGGCAAGATACTTAAAAAATAAAGATAAGTCCTTGTCTTAGGACCTTGCTGGAGAGACAGATCATTCCTTATAACATAGCGTCAGGCACCTCCTGGTTTACATCACACACACACACACACACACACACACACGGTAAAAAAATATTACCTGTTCACTTGCTGCCTTTAGGTAACCATTCCTGAACTGATGAAGAATGATCACTGTGTCCTCGCCTGCTAAGGAATAGGTCAAGGCTGCTTACTCAGCAAGGAGAGACAAATGAGAGCACTTCCCTCAGGAAAATGCTAAGATGGAGGAGACAGTTTAAACCTCATCATTTCCTCTCCAGGAAATTGTCCCTTTGAGGTCCAACAGAGGAACGGAAAGTTATTCCTTGCTGGGGACTGGACACTTGAGCAGTGGTTACTTCTTAGTGCACCTATCGCATCCTCTCCACCTCCACCAATCCATAAATGAGTATCCCTGACTCACCTACAGTCCTTCAGCCCCCTCCCCACCTAAATCAATTGAGGTTTGGTGGGAAACCATTGTTCCAAAGATTCAAGGTGTAAAGCTAGGAGCTCAGGTCTGACTTTGTACCGCATCGTGAGTGTGGCGTTCTCACCCGCCTCGAGCCCATCACAGAAAGTACCTACAGAGGTGTTGAACAGGCACATCTTCCTGTTATACACAGACACCCTGAAAATCAAGAAAGGAACACAGGAGCAGAAAAGCCAAACATTCAAACTCTTCCACTTTCTTATCTAAATGCTTTGGAGAGCACAGAAGGCTTGTAAAAATACAGATCCCTTTAACCTCCATTTCTTTCTTTCTTTTTTCCTGAAGATTGATTTATTTATGCATACAGAACTGAGGTACAGGCCAGAGGTACAGGGGCAGTGAGAGGATTCACCAGACACAGAGCAGGGAACAGAACAAGCAGCTTAAGGAAGCATACTGCTGAGGGGAGCAGTGGGTGGGTCAGGAGAGGTCTGCCACGTCATGTGGGTCACCTCTGGGCAGGGATCGAACTTGCACTGAAGCAGCTGGGGCTGGCTTGTAGTGCTGTGTCTTAACCCATTGCGCCACAAGGGAGGACCCCGAACCTCCATTTTTTTTTTTAAAGTCTAACATTTGCATAAGCTGGTCCAAATCACCTGCAACTTAATATAGTTGGACAAGTTGAGAGAAAGACAGATTATCATTTTTTAAAAAAATCTTTTTCCATTAACCTAAATAGATATTTGCATTCTCCTGCTGTTACTGCTTCAAAGGGACCCTAAACCGGAAGGGAGACATAATTATGGTTTTTGCATTCAGCAGAGGAAGCTAATTCAGGGTGGAGCAGTGGCATCAACACCAGTGGAGAATAAGAACTACATTTCATTGCAGCATTAGATCAAAATGTGTGATTTGAAGTCAACAATATGGTGTTTATTGATCTATCAGAATTAAATTTTAAAAATAAATATAGGGCTGCCCTTCAGCTTTGACTCTCTGTTTTCATACCCCACACAGACTCTTGAACTATTTGGCTTAACAGGGCTTCAGAGAGTAGTTGGGAATAAAAACTGGGACTGACATTTCCTGGGTTATTTCTTCCTCTTGTGTTGCATCCTCTTTCTTCCAGAAGTTTCAATTGTTTTGGAAAAAAAAATCTTTGTTATCCCTAGAGAATATCTGTGTCTCTACTGCATTTTAAATCATGACCACTACAGAGTTTTCCCACCCTCTTCCAAACCCCTAAACCCCAGGCCACCTCCTCAGGTTTGGCAAATTTCCATGCCTTTCAACAAACAGGAAAGACTGTGCCCTCTCTTCTCCCTACTTAAAATGCCTCTGTATTTTTCATCTCATTTTCTTGAGAAGAAAATAAATCTTCTCCAGACTAAAGGTATTTTTAAATCCTTTCATCTTTAAAAAAAACCCTTTAAAAATGCATTTTCTATTTTTAAAATATATTGTTAGTTTTCTCATTAGAAAAAAAATGAACCATTGGGGAAAAAAGGAAAAGAAAAAAATTTCTGAAGCACAATCAGCTCCTTGATACCAGTCTAATCTTTTTTAATGATATCAGTTTCAAGTATATGACATAATGATTTGATTTTTATATACGTTTGGAGATGGTCACCACAATAAGGTTAGACACCGTTTGTCATCATGAATTTACAATTCTGTAAGAGAGAGAGAGACCCACTCTGCACTGCAGTATTGTCTCTAAGCCCAAAGCTGTATGTAGGAGGTTTGTACCTCTTGAGCCCCTTTGCCCTTTCAGCCCGCTCCCCTCTTTGTGTTTGTATTTATGAGGTCTTGAGGGCATTATGCTGAGTGAAATAAGACAGGTCAAAAAGACATAAAAAGGGGCCCTCCCTGGTGGCGCAGCGGGTTAAAGCACAGCACTGAGAATCTAAAGCCACTTCCTCATGAGTTCGATTCCTGCCAGCCCCGGAGGTGACCACATGGCATGGCAGACCTCTCCTGACCCACCCGCTGCTGCTCTCAGCAGTGTACTTCGTAGATCTGCCTGTTCTGCTCCCCACTCTGTCTCTGGTGAAGCCTCTCACCGCCCCTGAGCCTCTGGCCTGTACCCCAGTTCTGTATGCACAAATAAATAAATCTTTAAAAAAAAAAAAGACATAAAAAGGGAGAATGTCTCCCCTATGCGGAATCTAAACAAAACAAGAAAGCAAAGCCAACCCTGCTAATACTTTCAGCTGACTTTCCCCCTTTTGGACCCCTTTCCACTAGGAATAAGTAAATACCTTTTACTCTCTAGCACTGGAAAGCCATGCTTCCAGAATCTTCTTTAACTCCTTGCCAGAATGAACACCATAGGGCTTCACTTTGACTAGTCAGCATTATTTGACTGCCCACTAGCTGGCCTTTAAATGCTCCTCCGATGTTCTGGTTTTTTTTTTATTTGTTTGTTTATATTAGTTTATTTTTACATATTTTTGTTCATTTTTCCATCTAAGTTGCAATCCCTGTGTTCTGTTTGTTTTTTAGATATTCTTTTTTTTTCCTTTTTCATGTCTATTACATTAACTATATTTTGTGGTTTTTACCACCTTATCACTCTAGAGTGATCTCTACACCATACGTAGCCTGAGCACAGGGAGGACAGTTCCCAAGTCCTATCATACCCTTTTAGCTAGTGCCCTGAGAGTGAGCAGTGTTGCCAGGATTGACATGTATGCACAGTATTTGACAACAGACACATATTATAACCTGGCACATACTTCTAGCTATGTGCCCGCTGTGGTGCCCAGATCACTGTTGGCCCTGGGGTAAGGACTCAGTAGATGTCTGTGGAGACTGCTCATGGGCAGGTAGGTAGCAGATTGGGGAATGAATGGGGAATAAAGCAGGCACTTGCTATGGTAATAAATGCCCTTTCCTAGTCAAAAGCAGCAATATGAAAGAGCAGTTGCTGGAGTGATTTAAATGTGTGGTGATTGTGTGGATTAAAAAAGGGAAAGGAAAATACTGTTGTTTAGAGAGTCTAAAATACTTCCTCATAGTAATAATAGTTAATGGGCCTGAAATTGTTGAAATTAAGTTTTATTTGTGGTTTTCATCTACCCAACTAATTCTGGGCAAGTGAGACCATCACTTGCATATTAATGACATAAATACTGCGAGTGGGCGGATGCTGAAGAGGGTATGCCACAGGAGGGTGGGATGGGAAAGGTCCTCCAGGACCCTCAAGCTGCACCTTTATGCAGTAAGTGCATCACTGCAGTCAAAAGACTCAACAAGCAAATGGGAGTGATAACTGGCAGCTGAGACGGTCACTTCCAGAACCATCTACTGGCATTATAAAGCCCACATTTAGTCATCTCTGTAAATGTGTGCTTTGCCTTTCATTTGAACTAGCTTCTTCTACCTGACCCCACACCCACACAGAGACCCCAAGACCACCTCTTACCCTCCATTGTCAGCTCTGACCCACTTGGCAAAGCAGGATATACTTTGGTCATGTGGAGCTATATCATTCTTATTTCCAAAGAACTCAGACTTAATGAGGACCAGCCAGTTCTGAGAATCAGGACAGGATGAACCTACACTCCCTTCTAAGTTGGTAATCAGAGCACTGGGCTTCATGCTGAGGGGGATGAGTCCTGTTTGACTGTGGTCTTGAATCAGTTGGGACTAATTTAACCCCATGCAGTCTCTGCACATGTCCTTTCCAAGAATTTAATTGTGGCTGTGGTGAGCTCTGATGTTGACCATTAGTTGGGTTCTAGCAGGCCATTCCAGGGAAGTTGTGTCTGCTCACTTCACTAAGTTTGGTGCACCTGCTCTTGCCTTTGCTTTTTCCTGGGCTCCTCTGTGTTAACCAGAAGCAAATGGGGAGGGAAGGTAGATGGGCTTTAGGAGAATATTTGCAGAATCAGAAAGCGATTCCTTGAGTGAATCAGGCCTTTCCTTGCTCTAGGCCTGTTTTACTTGTCCAATAATCTAATGTCCTGTTGTTTCTGTCAACAACCAATAAGGACTTGGTGGATACCTATTCTGTGCAAAATTCCACACAGTGAAGGAATTACAAAGTGTGAATGCAAGACAAAATCATATACATAGGAAAAATTCTCAATATGACTATAGAAGAAGCAAAAGGAATAACTGATTTCTAGTTTAAGATATAAATCAGAAACATACAGGGACATACTTGCAATCCTTTCCTCATGTCATTATTTCCTTCCTGTGCATCTTTCTATTAAGCAGCAGATGGGGAAGGGCAGGAACACACTCATTCAAAACAATTTCCAAGGAGTTAGCATTGAGTTTTTAACTTTTGACAGCTGTTTCTAGACAAGAGAAAAGAAATATCCTAAAATGCCTTCATCAGGTTCAGTACTTTAATCTTTGCTCTTTAAATAATGAAAACACAGAACTTAATGAGAAATCAAACTCTCCACATGTTCCAAAATGAGGAATAGAGAATTGAGGGGATTATTCACAGTACTTTTGCCAAAAACTTGGCTACTATAATAATCTGAAGCAAAAGTTTGCCTGGATTGTCTGGACTGTAGATAAACAAGTTAAGAGAAAAGGAAATGCTAAGTTAGGAAAAACACTTCAGTCGACCTTATTATTAAAATAAATGTCTTGTTAGTCTGACTCAACTAGGCAGGGGATCACTCACATCTTAAGTGTGCCTGGAAGTGCCCACCGACCTGACAGGATCCTGCTGGGAGAGAAAAATTGGCGGTTAAAAGGAAATGAGTGCAGGATTCCTGTAGAGATAAACATTAAGGTAAAAAATGCATACAGGAAGTTATACGCTGGCCATTGCCACCTCATTTAGAGTGGGCATCTAGAGAATTTGCTTAGGACATCTCATTTGTGATGGATGAACCACCTGTCTTCTCAGAAAGAGCTAGTTTTTTGTTTGTTTAAGATTTTTTTATTCGTTCACACAGAACTGGGGTACAAGTACAAGCCAGAGGTGCAAGGGCAGTGAGAGGCTTCACCAGACTCAGAGTGGGGAGCAGAGCAGGCAGATCAATGTACACTGCCGAGGAGAGCAGAGGGCGAGACAGGAGAGGTCTGCCACACCAGGTCACTTCCAGGGGTAGGGATTGAACTCACACTGAAGTGGCTATGGCTAGCTTACAGTGCTGCAACCTAGATCATTGCGCCATCAGGAAGGGCCAGAAAAGAGCTAGTCTTAAAACAAACAAAAAAAAGTTATCCTCTCCTAATTGGGTAGGAGAAATTTACTCAGTTTTTTGTTTTGTTTTGTTTTTTTAATGTAGACTTGTTATGATCTCATTCCCAGCATAGTGACATAACACATTCCTTCTTCTACCAGCCTTGCCTTAATGAGATAATAGTGGCAGGTAGATATGGCATCAAATGTCCCTTTGCTGCTGCTTAAAGTGCAGCTCTGATGAGGCAGACACCTGAGTCCAATACCTAACATGGGACAATTGGATTTCATTCAGTTACATTTGGAAAAGATGGAGACACTATCGACAATATCCAGATAGAACTTCATGACAAAGAGACTCTGCTTCTAAGAAGGGGTGTGTCTAAGCAAATTGTTCATGAAGAGATGCCAGCACATAATACAAAGATGCATGAGGTCAAATCCCATTGGCACAAGGAAATAATTCAAACCCTGTTATCCTGCCCACGCATCATCAGTTTTATCATTTCTAAGTATAGCGTGTTCAGCTCATTGTTAGTATGTGTGGTTGACTCCATCTTATGATCCTCTTCCCCTTTCTCATTCCTTGGTTTAGACCCTCCCCAGAAGAGGCTCTGCAGTGGCGTGACTCCCTGGACAAGCTCCTGCAAAACAACTGTAAGTTTGCCCTGACTTCTGTACAGGTCAGAAATCACATTTGCATTGCCCATGTCCTTCTCCCCCAATTTTGACTTTTTTTCCCACTTTTTCAGAGGGTTTTCAGCAAGGGAAGGGGCTGAGAATATGGTTTTCTGATTCACTGAGCGAGAATGTGAATTCAGGGAGGGCACTCATGACTCCCGGAGCAGGCTGTTGTCCTATCTGTCCTGCTCCCCTGTGTCATACAGCCAGGGGGTCACCTGTGTACTCTAGATACCTTCCCCAGTAAAACAGAAGCACTTACTGTCTTTACCAGTTTGGCCTCATAATGTCTTAAAAGGTTTGGCTATAGGGTCCTCCCTGGTGGCGCAGCGGATTAAAGCACAGCACTGAGAAACCAAAGCCACTTCCACATGAGTTCGATTCCCACCTGCCCCGGAGGTGACCACATGGCGTGGCAGACCTCTCCTGACCCGCCCGCTGCTCCCCTCAGCAGTGTACTTCGTCGATCTGCCTGTTCTGCTCCCCGCTCTGTGTCTGGTGAAGCCTCTTACCACCCCTGAGCCTCTGGGCTGTACCCCAGTTCTGAATGCGCAAATAAATAAATCTTTAAAAAAAAAGGTTTGGCTATAGCAAGATAAAAAGCATGCGTCCTATCAGTCACACTAATCTTTGTATGTCCCTATGGCTTAAGCTTTTAGGGGACAGAAAGCTATTGGGGTAAGAAAATCTGGGGATAGAAGTTAAGCCAGAGGCAGTTAATATTAATATCTTAGTGCCTTCGTGTATGCTGAGGGAGGAACTAGTCTTTCAGCTTATAAATATGATCACCATGGCCTGAGATTCTACTTTTCAGATGGGAAAGTATGTGTACCTGTGCATGTTATTGTAGAAACACAGATGTGATGTGATATTTAACTTAGACATAATATTTTAATTATATATGCATATAGGTAGATATGTAATATGTCTCTGCATATATTTGTGTATGTGCGTTTAATCTCAAAGTGTCACATAATTAGCCTCTTAAGGAATTAATATTTTAAGCATTTGGGCAATGAATTTCCTAAGCAATAAGTGAAAAAGTTTTGATAACAATTTTAGTCTGCATTCCTTCCTTGAAAATGATTTCTACCCACTCAAACTAACTCAGGTGATAAAGAGGATTTCTGGAACAGATACAGAGATGGCACAGAAGCAGAGGCCACAGTGGCCTATGGGAGTAATATCTTTCATAAATAAGACAGTCTCTCCTCTGTCTCTTCCTCTTTACTGTCTCCTCCTCTTCCCCTCTCCACCTCCCTGACTCTGTCTCTGCTTCTCTCTATGACTCTTCTACTTGCCCTGTGTCTCTCTCCTGCCACCTTGCCTCTGCTGTCTGTCTGGCTACTTCTAGAGAAGGACTAGGGGAATGCCAACATGCCCTAGTAATTGATCCCCAACTTTACCAACCCAATGAAATTTTATTTGACCTCGTCTCCCAAACATCTACTGTTATGCATCTTGAGTAACTATATACCACATTTTGGCATCTCAGCCTTATGAGATATTCCTACTTGAATCTGTTAAAATAATTAGTCTTTGATCAGAAATATGAAACATTAGCTGTGACAGATGAAACATAGGTAAAAAATAAGTAAAGTATCTTTACTTTTGATAAAGACAATTATTTAACGTTTCACATTCCCTTTTTGAGTGATTGATTCGATCAATTAAACCATTTAAACTTGAGAAGTGGCAACTATATCAATTTATAGGTAATATTTGACATCCTTTGTTGCTAATGGAGGATATTAACTCTCATCACTGACAGAGCTCCTCCAACATTCCTTAAATCCACATTTTTCTTGAGAGAAAATGAAATCAATTGGTATTAAACCTCTAAAACAATAAGACAATTAAGCGTATATTCAATCTCTCCCTCCTCCAAACCCTGAGCTAACAGGATTCCTCTTACCTTTCCTCATTTTAAAAGCCATTTTCGGCCCTCTCTGGTGATGCAGCAGGTTAAAGCACAGCACTAAGAAGCTAAAGCCACTTCAGCATGAGTTTGATCCCCCCCCCCCCCCCCGGAAGTGATCCACATGGCATGGCAGACCTCTCCTGACCCGCCCGCTGCTCCCCTCAGCAGTGTACTTTGTCAGTCTACCTGTTCTGCTCCCACTCTGTCTCTGGTGAATCCTCTCACTGCCCCTGCAACTGTGGCTTATACCCCATTCTGTATGCATAAATAAATAAATCTTTAAAATCATTTTCAATCATCCACTATACCTGACTCAGTCCTGAAATTGTACCAGTGTCCTCCATGCTTAGGTTAAGTGTCTTTAGTGGGTCTGTCAGGCACATAACTCCCAGACTGCAATGGGCATTAAAATAAAGTAGCAATATTAACTTTCATGGGAGTGTCTTTAAGAGCAGAGAAAGAATGTAGATTCCTTTTGTTCAGGAGTCCTAAAGGATCAGAGCATGTCCTGGAGAAGTGGGTGTCTCTTCCATGGAGCATGGAACCCCTGGGGTCAGGACTTCTCTTCTTGTTGCTATCTTTTGCCTCCTTCTGCTTTTCTCTCTCTGGTCCCAATTTTCTTCCTTCTCTTCACTGACTTATCTTTGTTATTGTATTCGTCACTGGCAGCTGCAATTTCCTTTAAGCTGAAAAGTTAGAATAATAGAAGCAATCACCAAAATAAATTTTCCACCATGGACCAAGCACTGCCCTCAGCACTTTCCATATATTTTCATAACAATTGCCATAATTTTAAGATTTAGTACAATAACAATCTACTCAGAATTCCTTTTCAGAAAAACAAACTGAGACATGAAAGTTAGATAAGTTGCTTATGAAATAAAATGCTATAGCAACCACAAAGTAAGTATATTTACCCTTCTTTAAAGTTTGTGATCTTTGGCTCTGTGACATGGAAGGAAAGACTTCTCCCAAGACCTGATGGGTCTTTTTTTCGTTCACTGTGAACCTCTAGATGGATGCACAGGTTTAACTAAGATGTGGGGCATGAAAGAGTCATAAAGATAAATGAACCTCAAATCCTGGAAAAGGTAGTCACACTCTTACAGGGCACCCCAGTGTGAACTGGGTTGCCTGTCTGTGGGTCCTCACCCACGTGCCCCTAAAATTTAGTTGTACTGCAGGCACACACAAAAGGGTCAGTAGTGGGTTTATTTACAAAAGGGGAAAGGAAAAGGAACAACCCAGGGAAAGAGAGAGAGAGATACAAGGTAACTAGAATATCTTACCAGCTCAGCTGGCGTGGAGCTTTGCTAACTAACAGATAGCCCTGAGTCCATTGTCCCAAGAGCGGTTTCCAGAGCAAAAGAGCCTGTTGGACAAAATGGCTCCCTATTTATCCCCCAAAGTCCCAGAATGCCTGCTTAGCTTCGCACTTGAGTCCTCACAGTTCTCTCCTTGGTACTGCTGGGAGTTGTAGTTTCCAGTCACTGGAGTAGGGGGTAGAGTTCAGAATGCTGGAGTAGGGGGTGGAGTCCACAAGACTCTGCAGAGTTCCTTTAGGACATCCTTCCCCTTAACAACAAAAGCAAATCACTCCAGCGAAAGACTACAAACTGAGCTCGTCTCTCATAATGATAAAACCCTCTAGAACTGCTGGACAGTAATTGGTAAAGACTATCTTGCAGACAAAGCACTGAAGTTGGGTTTTCTTAAAAAAAAAAAAAAGATGTATTTATTTATGCATACAAGAACTGGGGTAGAAGCCGGAGATGTGGGGTGGTGAGAGGTTTGGAGACAGAGTGAGGAGCAGAACAGGTGATCTACTGAAATACAGTGCTGAGGGGAGCAGCAGGCAAGATAGGAGAGGTCTGCCAAGCCATGTGTGTCACCTCCCTGGCAGGGATCAAACTTGAGCTGCAGTGGCTGTGGAGAGCTTCATAGTGCTGCCCTCTAACCCATTGTGCCACCAGGGAGGGACCTGAAGTTGGGTTTTCAATGATGATAAAGATTACTTTTAAACCGAGTGTGAATATAAATGCTGAACGCCAACAATTTTTTTTGATTTATTATATTCAACACCATGTAAGAGCTTTACTAAATTATTTAAACCTTACAACAACTCTATCAGGTAAATTAAATTATTTATCCCCATTTATCAGATAAGACAACTGAGGTCTGGGAGGCATTAAATACATAGTCCAAGTTACACAGTAAGTTAGCATGTGACAGTGCACCTCCAATCTCGATTCTAGAGCCTGCTCTATTTTATTTCAATGGTACTTATTAATTACCAATAACTGACAATAATATGTTGCAATTTCTCCCCTGAGGATGGTTTGCATTAATCTAGCTTTCCACATTTGTCCTTTATGTCAATATGTTTGACTTGAATGCATCTAACATGCCTTTGATTTTTTTAAAATTTTTTTATTTTTTTATTACAAAGTTTATTTTTACATCATTTTGCACATTTTTTTTTCCATCTCGATTGTAATCCTCGCGGGTTTCCCATCACCAGATCACCCCTGTGCCACCACCCTAGTCCCGTGCATTTCCCTCCCTCCCCCCCCCCCCATTTTTGATCCCATTCCCCACTCCACCCCCACAGAATGTCTCTGGTATATGGTTGTTCATTATTTTTGTTATTTTCTCGCCTGGTCCATTATACTCCTGCTATGAGTGAAACCATCCGGTATTTTTCTTTCTCTTTCTGGCTTATCTCACTAAGCATGATCTTTTCCAGCTCCATCCAAGTTGCTGCAAAAGACATAACATGCCTTTGATTTTCAAAATGGTTTCATTCTGTTCTTTGGTAGGGCTGCTACTCTATTTTACATCAATGTCAAAAGTAACACAGCATACTAGGGCCAGCTCTGGGATTATGATGTAGGTCACACCCCAGAGTGTTTACTCCAGACCAGAGGATCAGGTGGGCTTCACCTGCTTCCCAGGCAGTGGATGCTCAAGATGTACTGAATGGTATTCTGAGGTTCTGTGCAGGTTCTACCATGAAGAATATGGTAGTTCATCAAAGATGTATGCTTGGGGTTTTAGCTGGATATGCCATGGCAGGCCAATGCTTTAGGCAAAGAAGATTTATATATGTTCTTTGCACAATAGAGGCATTTGGTCTGGAGTCTATTTAACTACAAAATGGAAAGCCTTCCTTAAGGTGATGGGAATTCAATAGAGAGAAATTCTGAGAAACGGACCAATCAAAAACCTGAGGTTAGGGAGGAGACAGTATCTGGTGAGAGATTTTAGAGGATCCTAGAAAGGAACTTCCTGAGAGTCCACACAAGCAAGATGAGAGAAAGAATAGCTGTCATCGTCCCAACCGACAAGATAAAAAGTTATTGTATGAGTTGACAAGAAGTCTTAAAATGATATTGTGGAATTCAATGAGAATGATGAAATCAGTTCGTAGGAAATGAACACAGGACACTGGAAAATTCTTTGCCAAGCTCATTCCCTCATTCCCTGGTTATGCGTTATAGGTTAGCATTGCTGCAGAATCCTGGCCTTCATGTTCTGCTCCTAAGTAACAATGTTTGGGAGGCCTGGGGTTTACCTTTGCCTTTCACAAAGACGCAGAATGGGTGATTCAGAGAGCTTGATGGGCTGTGTGGACATTGGGTTAATGAGAAAAAATTAGCTACAGACTTCTGTGAAGTTGTTTCCTCTACAGTCTTAAGACTTGATTACATGCAAGTTCACAGGACTTCATTCCTGCTGTCATTTCCTGTCAGCTAGAAAGTGCTGGGAAGTGTTGTCCGGAGACTACCTGACACTTGTGTTTTAAGAAACAATGAAAACCTTAACCCTGACAGAGAGAGAATTAGGCTTATTTCTTCTTTCAGCATTGAGGTTAACGCTCATGTTTCTAAATTATAAAAATAGCTTTGGCAATACAGTAGGAAAAGATGGGTGAGGAGAGAGAGAAAATCTACCTGATTTATTCAGGCACACACTATCAAATTGTTTTAATATAATTTTTCTATGTAGGTTTCTAGGAGAAATTGTTTACCACACTTCCTAAAAACTCCTCCCCCAGATCAACCAAAAAAGAAGAAAAAAAAAAAAAAGAAAGAAAGGTGTTTTTCAGTTAAGTACAGGGAAGAGCAGATTAAAATGCAAAGAGTTTTATTTGGATCCAGAGATCACTGGTGACCCAAACCAAGTTAATTATCACTTAGCCATTCTGTTTCTTTAGAATTCATGTGTTTACATGGACTACAAAAAGCATGGAGATGGTGAAAATGTAAAGAAGGCAAATTGAATAAAAGACAAGCAAAAATCTCTGGTTTAATCATCAAATACATTTTGTACATGTTATATAAATCCATGTGTTAGGCATTGATTAATGAATAAAATGTATGTACTATAATGAGGAGTAGGGAGAAGTATTCAAGGGAAAAGAAACAGATTGAAATTAGGTCAAAGGAAATGAATTCAATACATGAAATTGCTCCCTACGTAGAACTAATGTAGATTAGAATTATCTCCTCATGGGGGACAAGTTCAAGGAAAAGCAGGCCCTGATGTGCTTACTAAATTAGAGATAAAGATAGAGGGAGAGACAGACAGTTTCTTAAAATTTTAAGTTGAGACCCTCCCGCTAGGGAGGGTTAAAGCACAGCACTGAGAAGCTAAATCCACTTCAGCATGAGTTAGATTCCCACCCCAGAGGTGACTCACATGTCGTGGCAGACCTTTCCTGACCCTCTTGCTGCTCCCCTCAGCAGAGTACTTCATCAGACAGCCTATTCAGCTCCCCACTCTGTCTCTGGTGAATCCTCTCACTACTCCTGCACCTCTGGGCTGTACCCCAGTTCTGTGTGTATAAATAAATAAATATTTTTTAAAAAATTTTTAAGTTGAAGGCTATTCTACCTGAACAACACTGCATTGGAACACTACAGAACTTCAATAGTTCCAATTATATTAATTTATTTTTTAAAACTCACAGCTAACTGATAGGCAAAGTGATTAATAAGTTACCATGAGGCAACTTCCTCAGGCCCTTCACACTTACCTTCAGGCCTCAAGTCAAACACCATTTCTTCATGGGGGCCTGTCCTAAACTAGAATGAGGTTAGGACAGGCCACCCAACCTTTCCTTTGACCTTCTTTCTGTCCTATTTTTTTGTGTCAATTTTGTTTTTTGTTTTGTTTGTTTGTTTGTTTGTTTTTCTTTCTACTTCCCACAGAATCTGAAAGCGCCTTTCGGGAGAGAACCACATTCAATTTACTTCCCATAGTACTCAGATCATATTGCCTGGAATTTAACATTTACTCAAAAATCATTCGCAGAACAGAAGGAAAAAAAAGGATTGTGATATCAACATTAACATTACTTATATTGCAAAACTAAGTTTTAAATGCATCTTTCCCTCTTTCTGGTGATTGCTAATTATCCAGAATGGCATTACTGTTCTTAGTGCTCTTGATGCCAGGTTAACCTTCATTGTGTAAGTTTATACTGCCTGACCTTGCATCTCCGCTCTACCACATAACAGCTGGTTAAGTGCAAGTGATCAGGGCAAGCTACTTGACCTCTCTGACTTCAGCTGTGAAAAGAGTATATAATAGCACCTGTGTATTATGTTGCAATGAAAAATAAAAGTGGTCGCATTTATAAGGCTGCACAGCAGGGTAGAGTGTTAAACAGATTTTCTCACTGGCCTTTTCCCTCATTAGATGGACTTGCCAGCTTCAAAAGTTTCCTGAAGTCTGAATTCAGTGAGGAGAATCTTGAGTTCTGGATTGCCTGTGAGGACTACAAGAAGATCAAATCCCCTGCCAAGATGGCTGAGAAGGCAAAGAAAATTTATGAAGAATTCATCCAAACAGAGGCCCCTAAAGAGGTAGGTCCTGAGGGTGGGTGTGCAAGCAAGGTCCGACAAGGTCAGCCGACAGCTTCCCAACAGAGTGGCCCGGCCTGTGCGGGCCTGTGAGACTGTAGGCTCTGCCTGCTGGGACAGCACCCCTGTCCCGAGCACCTACAGGTGCCCTGCGATCAGGTCAATATGAACTTGAGTCCAATCTCAATCACTTTCTGGAAGTGTGATCTTGCTTTGGTGGCAGGTTGTGTCAAGTGGGAACAGTACTAGTTGTGTGATTTGTGATAAATTATTGGGTCTCTCCAACTTTGGTTCTTTCTTTGTGGAAATGGGGATAATGAAGACTTTTGCAGGTTTGTTGTGAGGATGCAATTAACAGTGGATTTGAAACATACATATCGGTTTCTGAACTAATTAATGCCTATCATCTTTTTCTTCTCCTCTTCCCCACCCATTTTTCTTTCTTTTTCTTTTTCTTTTTTGTCCGTAAAAATTCTCCTTTTTTCTCTTCTCACTTTTATTCTTTTGTTTTTCTCTAGGCCTTTACCATTTACACTATATGGGAACAAACAAGGTATCTGCTCATGAAAATAAAGTTATCACAAAGTAATAGTGCTAGAGATGTTGAAAGACAACATGTCATTAGTTGCTTGTTGAAGGCAAAATGTTTGCTAGTTTCAAAGAAGCCTGTGTTACTGGGCTTTTGAATCTTCTATCACTTGGAATCTTGGGCAAATTACTTAACATTTCTGTTCATCAGTTGTAAAACGTAGATGCCACTGTCTGCCATAGAGTTGTAGGATTAAGTGAGCTCATCAGGTGGCACCAGGCACAGACTAACCACCATCTATATGCATTACTGCTCTTGTTACTCTTATGGTTTGTTTCAGAAAAGACCATGTTTCCTTGCTTTTCTGGAATTATGCAAAAGGTCCTAGATACCTGGTCAGAATCTTGCCCCTTCATTCTCTCCACTTAGCATAGAAGCAAGTGCTGGCTGAGGGAGGTTTGGGATTGGGCATCAGGACCCTCTAGAATTAAGTGTTCTCATTAGCTTTGTGATCTTGAGGAAGCCCCTTCTCCTTCCCACAGATATGAAGGTGAAGGTATATAAAAGTATTTTTCCCTACAAAAGGAAAGACTTCTTAGGATTGCTATAAAGATAACTGACTCATTAGCTGATTGTAGAGGCTCTGACATTGTCTGGTCCTTAATCTGAGTCTTTTATTGGAATATCAGTTATCTTACCCAATCCTCCTAAAGTAGAAGTGCTGTCTTTCATTTTTTATCTTCCTTTTGTGTGTGAGAGATTCCACCCTCAAATCCTGGCCCAAACTAACGTCTGACCCTATTTCCCACAGGTGAATATTGATCACTTCACAAAGGATATCACAATGAAGAACCTGGTGGAACCCTCTCTGAGCAGCTTTGATGTGGCACAGAAGAGAATCCACGCCCTGATGGAAAAGGATTCACTGCCTCGCTTTGTGCGCTCTGAGTTTTATCAGGAGTTGCTCAAGTAGTCATTTAACTGGGCTATGAGGCTCATCCTGTGAGTTTTTCCTTCCACAGTAACACCTGCATTTCCAGCAACCTGCACATCTTCCCATAGCAGCTTTGCTCAAATCACCCAAACAGGGCAAGTCCCAGGGGCCACAGCTTGTACTTTTTACCCGTTAGCCATTGTCTGAATCCCTCCTGCCCCCAGGTTTTTCTGCCCCATTCTTCATAAGCCCTACTCAATTTCTTTTTGTCAAACCCAATCAGATCACAGAAAAAATTGCCAAGAGCAAGAAAAATTACCTCAAGAATGTGATATCATTGAACGTGTATTCATTTGGTTTGGATTTCTATTTAAATTGGCCTGTAAAAGAACAGATATATGTGGGAAAACTAATTTCTCATGAGCTTAGTTGATTTCACTCATTTTAATTCGAATCCAGTGTCAGTTCTCTATTTCTGGACTTGGTAAGTACAAGGTGTGAGATTTTGAGGCAGCCACAATTTTCCTTTTTAAGCAAGCACATTGCTGTCCATTTCAGTGGTCTCCTACCTATCATCAGAGGACTGTACACTAAGGTGTTTAATAATCTTATGATGCCATCTGGTTTAGTAAATGATGATTATCTTCAAAATATCCGGTGATTGTTAGAAACATTAATATGATTACATCTTGAGGCCTTCAAAGTGAGATAGGGCTTTAAGGTGTTCTGCATTTTGCAAAATAATTTAGCCTTTTTGCAGTCCATCTTTCCTTCCTATTTTGCTCCCTGCATTAATGAGTTTAATTAGGATTGAAGTATCCATTTACAGCCATTTATGCCCATGCACAGCGATTGCTAGACCAAGTATATTTTTAGTAGATTTAAGCTTTTAATTCCATATCTCATTATAAGCCTTGCTAGAACTTTTAATAATCTCTAGTAGATTTGATTCAGTAATGATTATATAACTTAGTGATAGAGAATGAAAGCAAACATGCATGAGACTAATGCATTCATTTAAAAAATATTTTCTAAAGAATTAATAAAATTCTACAATGTTTAAGTAGAGGCGCACATTGTTCAGTCTTGTATTTCCTCCTTTTGTCTCCCCTTTTCATTCACACACCACTAGTGGCACATGTTTGTAGTCCACTTACTCAGTTACTTCATAAGAATATTGAAAGCAAAGCAGCTATATTATTCTGTTCTTTCCATAAACACTTCACTGAGTTTGTTGAGTATTCTTTTGTTTGGTAATTACAAGGAATAATAGGCCCTTCCTGAACACTTGCCATTTCATGTTTTGAAAATGGTTGGAGTAATCTGGTCTATAGCCTACAATTGCTAGTGTGGTATGAGCTCATTCATATTTGTCAGTATCACTCCCTTTAAAGAAAGACCTTTATCAAGCAGTTGACAGCTAGTCCAGATCAGCAAATGAAGTTGTGTACAGTGACTGCCATTCAGTAAGAAATTTCTGGAACCACCTTTCTCGGTGGGTATCTACACTGCCCCGTCAATGTAAAATGGTCGGTACTTACTTCACTTTGTCATTCACTTTCTAAAGCAGCTAGAAAATTGAAGGGCCCAAGAAACTAGGTGGGTGGTATTTTTCATGAATACCTAAATAATTTTTTAAATTTAATGAAAAAAATTTATTCACATTATTTGAAATAGCCAAGTGTGTAAAAATGTCTGGAGTACTAAGTAGGACTCACTTAGATCGTTGATGTTAAAAAATTCTAACTGACTGTATTACAGACTGCCTGCACACCCTGTGGTTGTGGGTAGACTTAGCAGTGGGAGGTAAGAAAGGCCTTCATCATTGTATGAGCTACCAAGGAGGCTGTAGGCAGGAAAAGCACAAGGACAATGCTACAAAGGCTATTAGAAATGAAAAGTTCCACCAAAAAGTAGTATCTTTTATATATATATGGCATTGCACAGACACACACACACACACATTAGAAACTCCTCTAACATATGGATAAAATTGAAAAGAAAACATATATTGCATGTGAAAATGAGAAAGCAAACATTAAAATTACCCTGGAAAATTTCTTTTAAGGATTTTGCAGATGTTTTTAAACTTAGACAAGGGGGAAAAATACAACCCAGGTTTCCATGGTAACACAAAGAAAATACATGCCTTTAATTCTGGGAAATTAGCAAACGTGTGATGATCTTTCCAGGAAAAAGATATTTAACAACTATTTATCACTCCCTTTCCCTCCTCCTCTTCCTTCCCACTTTTACTAGAGTAAACTGCCTGGGAGTGTTCTTAATGCAAGAACCTGTAGTTTTTGCATTTTCTGTCCCGTGAAAATGCAACTACAGTTGTATGTGTATCTGGGGTGGAAGAGGTGGTGGAAGCAAACAGTGGTCAATGGGAATAGCAGTTTATGCTTCTCACTCTTGAGAGGAACCTAAGATTAGATCAGGCAATGAATGGGCCATAACCTTTTTTTCTGCCTGGGTTTGCTATAGTTTGGGGTTCACATTAGAGTAGAATCTAAATAAGACCCAAACAGAGATGACTAGCAACTCTACAGTAAATTAGGGGCTGTATTACATGTATATCTAGGAAAGCAGCATTTGTTCACGTGACTTACCCTCCCCCCAACAATCTCTCACAGATAAACATACTCTGAAATGCAGAACTAACTGAGGCATTTCAGTAACTTTGCTTGCAAACATTTAAATTGCAAAGCCCATAGAATCAAATGTATTGAAACCTTTTTGTCCCCTTCTCAGATTGTAAGTACTACCATTACCTACAAGATAATATTTGCTCTCAGTAGCTTTTAGTTTTTAGTGTATAAAGAGAACTTGGTTTTCATTTTTTATCTTCTGCAAAGCCCTGGATTATGCTTGCTCCATGTATTCTCTGTAGGCACTGCATTTGCATAGTGTGAAGTTATTAGCTCTCTCCCCAAAATTAATAGATGATCAGAAGTTCAGCAAAAATTTGATGACTAGCAAATCAATGGGTAAACTAATACCCATTCCCTTCCAGGGCTTTTTCTATCTGTACCTTACACACTTGATAATATGATTAATTATATTTCAAGGAAATTATTTTTGTCCTGAAGGCATTCCATCAAGCAGACTCTTTTCTCTATGTCTTGGGAATTCAGCAGGTTCAGGGCAGAAAGGGCCACGAGCGTAAAGGAGAGAAAGGGGTGAATGGCTAAGCAGCGAGCACCTGGCCCTGTGCTGTGGACACAGTGGAGGGCATTGAGGACAGCATTGCCATTTGTCATCAGCAGGATGTGTAGGAAGGTATCTGCTGACTCACAGACCAGCGTCCTAGGGAGTCTCACTAGAGGAGTGGGCAAATAAGGAGTGAGGACCCACCTTCCCCTGTTGACATGCATGTGCAGGAAGCAGCTTGGGAACTCAGTTTCTATCATCCAGGCATCCAAACCCAAGGGTCAGGCAACTCTGTAGGTTCTGGATGTGAGGTCTGTTGCAGTCAGTATGATCTGACTGAATTGCTGTCAGACCAATCTGGTTTTCTAGTCTCTCCATTCGGTGAAGTAAGAAAGTATTTGATATGGTTTAGACAAGGCTTTTTAGTTAACAGTTGGCTTCAATATACTTTCACTCAAATTGGTTGTGGTCAGAGCAATTCCTTGGTATCAGTTAGCCATCTCAGAACTGAAGAAAAGAAAAATGCTTCCTGGAGAGCTGTTCGTGGGTTTGAGTGGAAACATAGCAGAGAGTGAAGGGGAAAAAATTAAGAAGAGAACATTATCCGTCACAATTTAATAATAATCAGCTTATTCTGATGGTAGAGAAGCTATAAATTCAACTCTTAGCATTCATATCCAGCTTAAAGTTACTGTTTCACCTGGATATCCCCTCTAACCTCCCTTTTCCTCCTCAGTCTCTTCTCCCCCTTCCAGAGGCAACACTTTAAAAATAGGTCTAGCCACAGTGATATAATAATGAATACATTAAAGAATTGAACTATCTAGAAAATATATGGGTTAAGTCATAGCTAAGATGACGGGAAATGCTGATCAATTTTCTAAATAAGAGAAGCAATCTGGATAAATTTTGCCAAAAGTTCTTGTTATATCACACAATATCAGATTTCAAGGGAACTAAGTTTTTTAATGCTACAACTTGTAACTCATCTTTGGGAAACACCTCCTGGAGAAAAATGTTGGAATGAAAAGTTTGGAAATAAATTCATCAGCACTTATCCCGTACATTTTTCACGTAGAAACAATTGTGTTTATCTTCTAATTTTGTATCTGCTACATTGTGTACCACGTGACTCATACTCATTGATAAATAAAACACCAAATATGTATCTGTAACCAAGATCGCATATATTGCATTAAATATATGTCTATGTTACAGTCTCATATTAGTCCTTCTTTACTCCTGGACATTCTCTATTAGAAATTCTTTCCTAAGATAATCTTGTTTGTTCCCTATGCTTTTTACACCAGGTGAAACTTTGATCCATTGGACCATCCCTTATCTTAATATAAGTTTATGGTACCACACCTGACATGCAAAACTCAGACAGGGATATACAAAGTGCCCCCTTTCTTTGAAACTGTCCCTTGGATTCAAGTGGCAATGACTGATTGGCCCAGCTGTTTGCTGTTAGAACTGACTGTACACAATATGTCACTTGAGTATTGCATGATTCAGTGAGCCATTCCTTGCCCTTCCCACATGGGGGGAAGATCTGAAATCCAGGGCCCACTGCAAAGCAGCTCAACTTTGACCATTGGCATTGGTGCTCAGAAAACAGGCAATGGGCTGAGGTCCTGCAACTAATGGACTGGTAGAAAAAGAAAGTTTGTATGCAGAGAGAAACATAGGCAGGAGCTGATTTACAGAAACCATGAAAATCTAAGGGGAGAGAAGGAATGAGACTGTGAGTTTAGGGAATGTCTGTCTTGATTTCTGACAGCTCTTAGTGTTCATTCCTAGTCCTCATGGAGCCTTGCTGTACTTCCTATAGTTGCAGTGTCCCCGAATTAACTCGCTGGCACCTATTCTTTTCTTTATTTTCATTATCTTGGAAGAGTTAAGAATTTCCACCAAGAAGTCCTACTAGTAAAGATAACTACCCTTTTTGCCTCCCCCACAGAGAACTGTCAATCTCAAGGTCACGAGGCAGATGATAGCAGAACAGACCTTGGAGATCAGTTGCCTCTTAGACTCCTGTTTGGTCTACAAGACTAAAGGAGCCAGATGTGGTTCCTCAAAACATCAGGATTATTGACTTTATCATGATTTCAGTGAGCTAAACAAACCACCATGGTACCAACTCCAAAGCACATTTTTCTACTTTTGCATTTTCAAAATTAGAAGCATCTTGATAATTGTTATGTCTCCCAGCCCCCAAATTCAAATACTTTAGTTTCTCATGAATGCAATGCCTCTGTGCATTCTACTTTTGAATTAGTTTCCTTTGGTAAATTCCTAGTCCCCATGCTACTTTCTTAATGACTTAACTTGTTATACCAACAAAAAGCATTTATGAGAAGGCAGTCTTTGTTCAATCTCTGGCAGTCAGATCTATGGCCAGGTTGCTGGCCTTTGATAATAAAGTCACATTTCCAAATCATCGACAACACGGAAGATGCAGAGTTGGAGACAGGCAGACAGGATCAGCTGCTTTGGAGGAATTGTGTCTTGAAGAAGCACTGCCTTGTGGCTGTTGCTGGAAGGAACTGTCTGGACATGTAGGAAATAAACGCCTACCATAGATATTGCTGCTAAACTTCCGAAGCCTCGGTACCTAAGGAGGATTCGTGGAAAACTTAACGAGCAATTGGAGCCCAGAGGTTTTAATCAGTAAGGACAGAAATTGATGCTCCTTTGTTTCTTCACTCAACATTTATTATGACTGCTTTTGAACTCAGCAACTGAAGCCATGATTTTAGTTAGATACACTTGAATTTCTCTAAACAGTCTACTAAGCACAAGCAGGCAGGTGATAAAGGGAAAAACCAGGAGAAAACGCCAGAGCTGGAATAGACATTACAAATGCTCCCATGACTCCAAGATAAAAGTCCAATTCTCCCTTCTCTGTGCAGTTTTTCTTCAGCTGAGATGCCAGCAGCTGAGAGAGACACAAACACTTGAATCCTGAAAGCAAATGGGCATTCGCATGGCTGCTATGTGATCAGCAGAGATGTCCTGGCACAGCAGTCATGTACAAGAAGCCATCTTGCCAATCTAAGGGATGCAGCTTCCCCATCATCACTTTATAAAGATGAGGAAGGTGAGGCCCATGGAAGTGACATGACTGCCCCATCATTAGCATCTGGGTGTCATCATTCTTCCAGGTGACCTGATTTCTAGTCTGGAGTATTTTTTTCTTGGAGCAAAATTTGTGTTATGCCTCATATATATCTATCGTAATGTAATAATATAAATCCTTAAAGTTTATATCAAAGAATTTTAAGATAATAGAGAAATGGTAGGGTAGGGCTGACCCACAAAAGCTGAACCTCTCCTTTATAATAATTTTCCCAATTAGGTATTCTTTCTGGTTGGCCAATTTTTAAATAATAAAACTTTAAAAAGTAAAATCCTTTAAATAACATATCCTGGTAGGAAGCTATCAACAGGATATATTACAGTGAATTCCAATAGAATAAAGCATGTTTATTACTCCTTAAAACCTTGAAAATAGCCAATGAGAGAGGGTGTTTTGCCTGGGGGAGAGAGGTCGGCCATGTTTAATCATATTTTTTAATATTAGCCACCAATCTATGCTATGCTATACGTGATCCCAGTCCCTATCAGCACCAGGTTACAGTCAAGACTTATGGAGGCAGAGCAGTCTCTTACCCTGTGTACTATTCAACCACTATCATGCAGTACTTCATAATTCTTCTGGGATTTAAAGAACTGGCAAGTCTCCATTTTAAATGTTCCAGTAACCAATTGCAGCTTCTACTCCATTTTTTAAACTTTG